TTTCTTTTATTTGTTTTGTTCCAAGTGCTCAGGGGTAAAGTGGGAAATAATTGTTTCTTTCTTCAGCTACTCAAAAAGCTCTGATTTCAGGGGCAGCCCATCTGCACTGGAAAGCTTGTACAGACCAGTAGTTTGCACTTAATACCTTAATGATGATTACAGCGCCAGCAAGGATAGTTTCTAACATAAACTAACCCTGGTGTTCTTGAATATGTATAATCTTACAATACAAAATACCCCAGATGACTGGTGATCAGAAAAATCAGTAACACCCACAGTACTTGTTCCTTTGTGAACTGCTGGGAACTTCTCTGTCCTCTTTATTTTGTACTGAGCCCACTTAGTTTCACAGTTGGTTTAAATAAAGAAAGAAATAAAACCTCCTGTGATTAAAGGTTACAGGTTTGGAAATGTGTCTGTACTTACTACAACAGAGTATTACCCAAGCTTCTGTGGCTGTGTAGTTGCCTAACTATTGAAAACTTGATGTCTTTGAGTATTGATATTGAGGTTATATGTAAAAGCCCTATTTATGACTTGAATTCTGTTGTGCTTTGCACCATTGCAGCTGCACACTTTGTTTGTTTGTTTGCATATGCTACTTTAGTATTGTCAAAACAATGCAGTTTTTTACTCAAATTTTTTCTTTGATGTAGGTAACAGAGATTATTCCATCATTAAAGAAACATTCAGGGTGGAAAAACCCCCAATGCTTTATATACCTGGTTTCTGTTCTCAGCTGCTTGTTTTTGTTGTGGCTTTGCCTGCTATAACTAAAAGCATAGTGTTGTCAGCCTAATTATTCGATACACCTCTTTCCATTTTCTGTAAATTTCAGATTAAAGCACATGAAAAAGCTTTCCTTCTCTAGGATTTCATGACACTTCATTTCTTGCCCCTAAAGCCAAATTCACCATTGTGAATAAGCTTATCTGCCAACAGTGAATTGTCTGCCGGTCTGTCTATCTCAGCTATGTTTCCTAGCTTAATTGCTGTGAGTCAGCAGTAGGAAATTAGAAACACACTCCATAATGACCGGAAGCTGTCTGTGAATACTGTCTCTTTGAAGTACAGTTAAGACTTTACAAGTAAAAGCTGTTTTTTATGCTTTATTTTTTAGGGCCATGCTTCCATTCATATGTTTTTTTCACTGTCAAAACTTAGTGGCTTTCCATATGTAACAGGTCATAGCTAGGCAAATGTTGTAACCTGTAAATAATGATCTTATGTTTCAAAATCACTGAGATTTGTAAACATGAGCTGTAATTCTGAAAATTCTGATTATTCTCCTGTCCAGCTTTTCCTATGTGCAGTATTCTTGTGCAGTTTTGGAAATGTTGCCTTGTCAGCTCAAGTGGTCAGAGTGAGATTGAGACAAAGTTTGTATTCCAAACATAATGTCAGTGATATATTATACAGTGACACATTGTTTTATATCACAATGATTAAATGTATGACTCAGACATGATCCCAAAGATTTATGTACAGTATAAGTGTTAAGCATTTGAGTAAATTTAGGTTTGCACGTAAATCTTCCCAGGATTAAATAATAAAATTTAGGTGCTGATTGCTAAATATTTACTAAATACCAACAAAGTGTCTAATTGATAAACCTAATTTAATGATATGCCACCCCTTGATTTTTCCCTTGCTTAGGGCAAAGACAAAGAAATGTTACTGAACGAAAGATATTGTTGCGTTGTATTTTATTGCTAAATTAGCAACAACTGTGCTATGGCTGGTTGTTCTAATGAGTTAAAGTTTTACTCTGTCTCGATGACAAATAAATAATGAATCTAAGCATTACCTTGAAATTATCTTTTTTGCTTTTCCCTTCTCTTTTTATACTTTGCCCTTACTTAATTTGTTTGGTGTCAAAGGCGCAGAGTCAAAGCAATTAGAATTTGACGTGTTTTCAGTGCATTACATATTCACAAAGACAATATGAACAAGTATTTATATTCAATTAGGTCTGAAGCTTGCAGAAAATGGTTCTTATCAGGTAGTTATGCTAAGCATTGAAACAAGATTTTCAGACAAAATATATGAACAAATTGAGAGGTGCTGCGGATAATATTAGTCTGCATTTTGTTTAACTTGCACAGTGTATGAGTAAAATCTGCAAGTGTAGAGATTCCTCTTTTGGGATACTATTGGATAAGGAATAATTCTGTGGGTTTTTTGAGATATGAGGGTGTTGCTGGATGCACCCTTTGTCATATGGTTTCAGTCCTTTGTGTCCCAGTTTTTTCATCTGTAAAGGAGTTGTACTGATTCTGATACTTTCACGAAGTGTTTTGATACCTGTTTATAAGGTGATGACTTTTAAGTGCCACATGCAGTTAGTATTCTATTCTAACATTCATTAATATATACCTTTTTATTAAAAGAAAAATAATCATGTAACATTTTATCCACTCAAATTCTTTATGAAGTCCCAGGATATACCAAGAATCCTCACTCCCCACCCCATCTTGGTCTTTTTTCTCCAAAAATCAAATTCAAACTCCTGGATTAATATGATTACTCAGAATTTAAGCTTTTCTGTTAGATTTTAAAATGATTGCTATCTTTTGTAAGTTAGAAAGAAAAGATTGACAAGTGGACCCTTCTTACTGTAATGACTTTAAAGCCAATGTTATTATTGCAGACTTCTCTTTTCAATTTTGATGCTTGAACTGATATTATTTATTTAAAATTCTTTGTCTACCCACATTAGTCATTAATTACCTGACTCCCAAGCACAGTTCACCTTTGTGGACTTATGTCCCCTTATGTTTCATAGACGAGAGAGAACCATAAAGTTCACCTACTGCATAAGTTTATCTGTTAAAATATACTAGCATAGCTCTATCATATATGGATACTCTATGGAGAATTGAAATATTCCATGTTTTCATAATCCAAAATGGTCAAACCACTGTGGAAGAACAGTAGTTATTAGGGAGTAGATATACCTTTGGAGAAGAAGACACTTTCAGACTATGAGAACTACTGAGGTATGTGTATAGCCATATGTCTCATTCTGTAGAATTGAAAACTCTGGGTTAAATTTCCCTATTGGAAATTTCAAGCAGCCTGCCCCAAACTGAAACTGAAAACCCTGCTATGAAATTATGAAATTCTTACTGAACTGAAGCTTACCTGAAAAACAACCATATTCATGCAACTTCTGAAACTCAGGTGTTTCAGGAAGACTTGCATGCAGATGGAAACAGAGCTGGATACATAGAGAGAGAAGAATGGTATAAAGAAGAGTTCTTGCAAACAAGATCTAAACCTGAAGAAAATGGCATTCCATAAACCCTACTCAAAATCAAGGCTGTTGCACACCATCCTATAAAAGAGCGCAGAGGAAACCAAGTCATCACAAACTCCTGTGATGAGTGAAATAGTAAAAACTGCAGGTTCTGAAGTCAAAGGAGGGCTTTTCCAAATACAGTAAAATTTATTTGAATATTCCATTAATGTCGTAATACTGTCTCATTTCATTCTGGAGACAGATGTGAAAATAAACCAAAATCTTGAACTGGCACAATACTGACCCTCACATTTTTACTGAAGTGGAAGGAGCCCAGTCTCCTTTTCTTGGCAACTGTTTAAATGCCAGACTCAGTGCTTTATAATGAGGTTTCATTATATGTGCCCTCTTACTCAGGCTGGGGTTCAGATCAAAGTATTTGTTCTTTTACAGTCTGTTCTTCCTGATGTCAAAATGTGTCCATTTGGCTCTACTCATCTTAATTGGCTCTCCTGAGCTTCAGTTGCCTGCAAGTGCCACAAAGATAACTTTTTATGGTCAATATGTGGAAGTTTGAGTTATTAAAAAAAAAAAAAAAGGCTGGTTCCATTTGCTGGCAATTAAGATAAGGTTATTCATGCATGTAATCGACTGCTTTTTTTTTTTCTTATTCTAATTATCAAAGGTCAGTTTTAGCATCAAAGTCCTGAGTATCTCCATAGTCACTGACTTTCCACAAAGTCAGTGAAGTTCACATCCTCACAGGCAGTGATCAGCAGTGCTCAGTGAATGGTCCCAATGCTTTCGTTTAACCTCTCAGAAGGATAAATCTTCCCTGAAAAGGGAATATGCATTCAGGTCCATTTCTGTGTCGGTTTTTTCTAACTTGAGAATTACTTGGAATACATCAGAAATGAGTGATGAATACATGAGCAAGACATATATTACTTTGGGAAGTTTTCCAGCCACTAAAAAGAATAAAGGCAGCCCTGCTCATGTGTTCATCAATTCCATCTGCTACCCACTGATAGACCTCTGGGATTTGTTTCAGAATAAAATATTAGTGTAATGGACAACACAGACACAGTGCATGTATCTAATGAATTATAAAGAAGCATCATTTGCTTTATAGAAAAATTATAGCAAAAGGAAATTGCTTTATTATCATAAATCAATGTTAATAACAGGAAGTGTAATAAGATTAAATGAGATATTAGAGTTGCCATTCTTGAGTATCAACAAAATGTTTTGCTTGTGTTGAGGAATGCTGCAGTAGGGTCCCTGTCAGTGGGACACAATTTGATAGGCATTACTGGCTGGCACTATTACATACATTTTTTTTCAAATTTCTTCTTAATGTGTAAGTTTTCTGTCTTTGGAAAAATCCTGCTAGTTGTTGCTCAACTTTGATCTCCATCTTACAAACTGAACAAAAATCTGTTTTGGAATGATCCATGTATGGTAAAATGTATGGTTTTTCTTACAGCCTTTTTCTAGTTTATACTTGTAATTTCATAATCTATAGAAATACTGCAAAGAACTTGTAACAGCCCTAATTGAAAAAGGTGATGTTTGTGGCCATTTCAGATAGTTAGGGTATTCTATGTGGCAACCTAAGGGTTCTCCTTAAAAGAGATTCCCCATCTGACAAAAAGCTGACTGAGGTACAGCTAAGAATTAAATCTCAAGTATTATAAAAAAGAATTAGCTATAAAATAATGTGTACTTTATTTTTTAGAATGCATTGCAAATCTTCATATTTATTTACAAGAAGCCAAAACCAAGCCTTTGTGGGTATACTTTCATGTAAATGTGTTTCTGCAGGTGTTTCTGCGTGTATGTGGAGACAATGAGGATGAACCAAGGAAGAGAGCTGATTTTGCATTTTCTTGTTAATATGGCCCACAATAATTTTATGTTTCTTCATGTAGTTAGTTCATTTATCTTTTTCTGGTTCCAGTGAATTGAGAATACTTTTCCTTTACTGTAAAATTTCAACATTTCAGGGAATCAGAGGTATTGTAGAAAATCACCGTGCTTGGGAAGGGAAGAAGGGGGAAGGCTGAGAAAAGTCCTGCAGGAATGCTCAAATGCTGGGAAACAGCAGATGACTGAGACACTGTTAAGTGAAGACAGCACACAGGAGATAATTATCATAGTGTCTTCGTAGTCATGTTGGAGTGCAAAATTTGCACATGAATAGGAATAACTGAGTGTGCAGCCTGCAGCTATGGTTGATCACTGTCTCCAGTAGATCATAGGATAGATAAAGAGTTTGTTGCCTAAGCAGTCATGTCTAGAAATGAGTACTGTTTTTTTCTTTCATGGATGTCCAGATGTCTTATTAGCATCCTGGAATCCAAAAGACCGAACTGATTGATTTAAAAGTGGATATGTCAGTCAAAATATATGAAGAATTATGCTCTGTTTAAATCAATTTTGGAAGGAGACTAAGTACTTCTATTAGAGATTCAGGGGAACAATGATAGTTGCTTTTTATAAAACACACTATGAAAGAAGTATTTCATACATACTCTGGAACCTTGTGTAAAAAACTACTGATTATTGAATTACAGGGAAGTTAAAAGAGATTGGTACCAGTATAACTGAGGTCAGAAACTGGTCATAAGATGTTTTAAAACATTGTATTTAATAATCTTAGTTTATTCATGTGTTATTTATACCAGGAACTATATCTGCTTTTCTCTTTACAGAATACCCAGAAGAGTATGTCCTGGACTGTGGGGTTCAGAGCCATTACTATTCAGTGGCGTAGAGGCCTATTATCAATTTAAGGCTGTTTTAGCAGCCGTACAGGCATCATGCCTTCATCACAGGTGACAGAATATCAGTCTTAACACTGTGTCTGTGCTTCTAACCTCAGAAGTGCTGAGGGCTTTCCTATACCTCGTTAACTGTGAATAATTTAAAGTTGCTGACAGCTATCATCATTTAGAGGGATGAACCCAGTTCACATCAAAGCAAACATTGGGAGAGTTCAAGGAAGCCTTTGCAGATTCTCTGTGAAAGCTTAACTGGATTTAATGTACAGAATGAGAGCAAAAATTTTATATTTGATATTAGCTTGATGTCTTTCTGTTGCAACTATGCAAAAGCTTTTTGGTATCAAAACATAAATAAACTTTTAATTATATATATTATATTATTCAACAAAATGAATCATGCTAGGATTGCAAGATGTTTCATCCATAAAGAAAAAAAAAAGCTCTGGAGAGAAAGCTTTGTTGGGGGGGAGAAGAGCATTGTCCATAGTTACACGTTGCTTGCATGAATAATTTTTAAGTCAGACTCCTTTTTATTGTGTCCTGCATCTTAGCGAATACTGTATAATGAAAAATACAAGCTTTTTGGTTATAGCTTTTTCCTATGGTAGATGCAGCTAAGAAGCATTTTGTACTGAACATTGGTCTATTGGACAAACACAGGGACCATGTTCCCGGGCACAGCTTCTCCTGAGACACACCATTTGGTACTATCTGCTTCCTAGCATGTGTGGGCTCAGTATGGTTGATGAGGAAAGGAAGTAATAAGAAGGAATATAAGTACATATGAGAATATCCTCATCTTTTACTCCCTTGCCTTCATAACTTCAGTCACAGCAGTTGATAACCTGCTTGGATTTACCCTGTAGACCAAATAAATGTTGAGCTGCTACAAGAAAGGAGACATATCCCAAGGGACATGTAAACACCTAAGAAGGCAGGAAAGTATTAACTGGAAACTGTCTGCTACAATGACTGGTTTCAATTAGAATGTAAAACTAGTATTGCCTTGTCCTGAAAAATAAAAAAATAAACCTGACTTTTAGGGATAAAGCCCACAGAAAATATTTAATTTAAATGTCATTAGATAAAGTATGTTAATAGCGTAATTGCACAACAGCATTGCATTTTTAATTCCTCAGGTACGGTTAGGGGAAATACATATGCTTTGGAAGTATTTGAGGCCAAGACAATAAAATCAACTTTAGCTTTAATAATTGATTTGCTATTGTTAAGGAAACATTTTTCCCCATGCTTTGATCTCCAGTGTCGAATTATATTAAAGGATAAAGAGAGTAGAAATGCAAAAATAAAATAGTGATTCTTAGCAGGCAGAAAGGAGAAGATGAGCAAGTTGGGCAGTCCCAATTCACTGTATCACTGCTGGCTTAGTCTGCAGAAGTACGAATTTTCCTAGTTATAGCAGCAGCCATATAGCAGTTACTCAGATTTAGAGCTGCTTTACTGCAACTCTTTCTTAAAATGCATTGGTGCTTTTTAGTTTATCATCTTCTTCAATCAACAATGCTGCTATATATTTTTGTTGGTATAGCATTAACCTGTGATATAACTGATGGTGGAAATCTGTCTGGCACTGTCCTATGAATACACACATACCAAACCAACATGGTAGGGACTCAGCTGAAGGAACTTGCTCTCTGGCTGTTCTTGCAAAAGATGTGCAGAATATGAAAGGGCAGCATTAACCTTTCCTGTAGTTTTTAGTAAGTGACAAATGATTAAAAGGTGCTATATAGGTAGTTCTGGGATGCACAGAGAATAGTAATATGGTTAGAGATATAAGCAGAGTTTGAAACAACTCCATGAATAAAAGTTAAAGTTATACTGTTGTGATTTCTATGTCAAAAGATTATCCATGATTATGATTACACAGAAACTTTCCAGTTGCATGTGAAAATTCTTGGGATTTAAGAATATTTTTTTTTATTATTAGTTGCTTCAAATTAATATAAAAATCACATTAGATGTATCTGCATATTATTCACTATACAAGGTCCATACAGGAAAAAATGCACATCTTAAACTGTAATTTCAGGATGTGTGTATTTTGGCAAGTACTTCTTGAAAAACAGTTACATAGTCTCATTCTCTATTTTCTTCTCCTTGGTTTCATTATTGACAGATAATTCCAACAATAATACCAAAAATAAGGAACAGAAGCAGTCCAGGTAGGCTGTTCATGATGTTTTCCAGCAAAAATAAATTCAGCTAAACTGTCTGAATTATGAAAAAATTGAATATATTTGGAAAATGTACACTTACGAATGCTTCATTGTCTCAGAATTATACCTGCATTTATAATGTGTATATTCTCTAATGAATATTTAGCTCTGTGATTTCAGCCACCCAAAAGTGTCAATCTGCACTAAATCTGAGACTAAAAGCACAAGGTCACTCTTTTCTCTTGGACTCAGTCAGATGTGGCTGTGTTCATAAATGAGCACATTTAGTTTGTTCCTCCTATGATACAACCTACTATTCTTCTGAGCATCTACAGGAGATAATTTTGTACTCTGCTCATTGTAAACTATATTTTTCCTATAGTACAATCTTTCATTCATTCTTCCTTAATGTTTTGTCACATCTGACAGATACTCTTTAATTGTAAGCTTATTCAATAACAAAATTGCCCTCAAATAGCATCCAGCAGTAACTTGCTCTCCCTTTGCTTGCTCTATTGCATATTTTGCTGTGTTTTCTCATTATCTTGAAAGTCTTTCTCTTCATTGTGAAAGTTCATATCATAAAATCTTTTCTGACATAAGAAGGCACAGGTACAAGGGGCCATACAGAAAAAATGAACATACATTGTTGCTTTTCTTAGAAAAGTTTGAGCATCTCTGGGTTTCCATTGAAGTTTCGCTTGAGGAATAAAGCTGCCCTACTGCCAACTCCAGTAAATATTTGATGGATCTTTTGGGTAGGCAGTTACAGAGCCTCCGTCCTAAAAATGCAGAACCTGTATTTACTGATTGTCTTGGAAGGTTTTCATTGCCAGTCTGAGCTGTCTCATTTGCCTTGAGGATAAAGACTATGCTGATGTTTGTATCTTATTTAGAAGGATGACTTGTCCTTTCTTTCACTTAGTCATGGAACCAAAAATTGCCTTTTTCCTTATCGTTTTCCCAATTTCCTTCCTCTTTTTTTAGTATAGCTGGAGATGTACTTTTCTCCCAGATTTCTTTACACAGGAACATCTGAAAGGGTCAGGTATGTTTACACTAGACTGTTACAAAAACCCAGTATTTTAACAAACCCAGCATACAGTTTGCTTCCCTTTTGAATCCTTCAGAAAAATCCATGTCCTTTCAATGACCTTCCGAAGGCACGGCATGCAGCTAATGTGCACCTCAAGCAACATCTGTTAGGAGATGGCAGAAAATTCACTTCCTTCTCCCTTCCCAAGGATCATCTAAGCAGTCCAGAAACTTAGAGCAAAAATGCAGAAAGAACAGCTGTGTTACTCAGTGTCAGAGCTGCTGTTCTTCCCAGATGTGTGTACAAAAGAAGATACTGAGATTTTTCCCTTTCTGCAGCTCTGTGCAGCTTCACAAAAGCCAGGCACCATCTGACCCACAATTGCTCTTTGAAATATATAATGTAAAGTCCTAAGAAGCTGCCACATATTTATTTGAAATGTTCATGTGTGCCTCCTGAAACATCTAAAAGCAATGGGTGATGCAAGTCTGCACTGAAAGAAAAGAAAAACCTATAAACATTAAGATGGTTTCATTATCAATTCGTGTTTTCCCACAAATATTTTGAATACTTTTAATGATGAGCAAGTAAGGCAGGCAGCTTTGTCATCAGATTGATCACGGTTCTTTAAAAAAAAGGAGGAATCTTTCTTATCTATTTATGAAATTATTCATGTGATTAATGTTTAATTAAATTTCTTCATGGAACTTCCCATTTTATCTCACTGTAGGTAATAATCATCTTTTCTACTCAGAGGTAGGGAAATGATGGTAAAACTGAACAGAGAAGACCTTGCCAGATTCAAAATGCAGAAGACACCCAATAGATGTCTAACTTTAAAAAAAAAAATTGAGTTTCAGATATTTATTTTTTAAATAAGTACTGTTAATAGGGTAGCATGGAAAAGCTGTTTCTTGGGTAGACATCAGTGTGGTAGCATCACTGCAGCTGCTTATATATCCATTCAAGAACAGCAGGCAAACTTTTACTGTTTCATTAAAGCATTTCAGAAGGACTGATAAAACAAAAAAATCCTAAAAGTATAAAGATTGTTCTGAAGTGAGCTAGGAATATGATCTTTCCTGGGTGTTTGTGACAAGCCTTGGCAGGGACAAAACATGAGCATGAATAAATATATAATGCTTTGGTTCCAAAATAACTTTATATGAAGAATTGGTGTAGCTTAAAGTGATTCTCTGCTTTATATACATCTAATAGGAATAGAGAATAATATTTTACATAAACAGATTAATCATAGTTACTTTTTCTAATATATCAACATTGAAAGTCCATGGATATCCAATGAAGACTCAGTAATTATTACATTGCAATCTAACTTTCTGAAATTTTGGATGTTTACATAATTACATAGCAGTTTCTAGATGGGATGAGGCATTTATTCGCAGTTTTATTTAGAGAATAATTTCAGAGATTCTTTTGAAAATTTTTGTCTCTTAAAAAATTTTGAAGTAGGTAAAAGAGAAGGAAATCATAAATGGAAAACAGCTGAATTGCAAGCAAAACCATCACTCCCAGAAGTCCACCATCCTGCCTGGTAGTGTTTGTGAGGGTTTCCTTCCAGGCTAGCAGAGCTCTATCCGTTTTTGACCCTTCTCTTGAACAAAGATCTCTTTAAGAGCTACAGAAGAGGTAATCCTTTGTTACTTAAATTGAACTAGTTGCTGATGCTTATGTCCTGAAGACTTTATTCAGATTCAGGACTGGCATTGTCATAGTTTAAAAACCAAACTGATGGATCAAAATATTACAACTAATGTTCAGCTCTAAGAACACAAAAATATTAGTACTGTATACAAATACCTTTAAATGTCCATCATAGTTATTTCAAAACAGAGTTCAAACTTAAAATTGAAGTAAGTTGTATCCTTTTGGGTATATATTAATTTCTTAACTTTCTGTGACTTTTCATATTATTGCAAAGTTAGTTTCTAAGCATTATTTTAATGAAAACCTCTTTAAATCTATACATTACTGTTTAAAACTTATACTTGTCACATACTATTGTATATATTTGAGATGAAATTATATTCTTTTTAATTCCCATTTGTGTTGCAAGGTCTAGAATGTAGTTCAGGCATGACATTTTAATCATCTGATAGAAGAGAAGATTTATTTTTCATTAAAGTGTTAC